TTATTGAGGATTAGAGGTGTTACAAGAGAGCAACATAAAAAGAAAAAGGAGAGATAAGGACGACAGGTGTTTGACAGGAAAGAAGGAGCAAACCACACCAGAGAGCCCACAAACCTTGCTCCATCAAATTGGAACTCTCTTCCCCAACCCTTGAGACACACAACATCTGAGTCTAAATTTTTAAAATCTTTAAAGACACATTTAATTACAACATTTTTATGTAACTAGATTCAGTTTCAGTACAATGTTATGTAAATGACGATGTATCGATTTCTGTATTTTGCGAATTGCATTGTGTATTTTATTTTATTATGTATAATACATGTGTATTATATTTTGAAACGATGTGTATGTGTGTGTGTTTGGCGTGCATTTGTGTGTGCACACGTGTGCATGAGTGTGCGAGAGTGTGTGTTTATGAGTGTGTGTATGTGTGTATGCGTGTGTGTGTCGCGTGCGTGAATATTGTTCGTACATGCATTTATGTAACACGGGAGTGGGCGCTATAGAAATGATCTTCATTATTATTATTATTAAACCACCGGCTGGAGTAAAGAGAAGCAAGTCGTCACAACAGCAATTTGTTGGAGTAGGGACAAAGTAAGACAGACAGAAACAACAGTGGAAAACAAAAGAAAAATCATCTCCCAAAGATGCCATTAACACACTAAGCAGTCAAAATATGTAACTAAATGACAAAATGAGCCACATGTGGCATTTTGACAATATACAAGTAATACTATTAATATCAGATTAAATGAGAAAATAGTATTACTATTAATCTAACTTCTTTGGTTCCAAAGTTAGAGAGACAAAAACCTAATATCTTGGAACAGCTGAGCGAGACAAACTAAGCATTGTCACTACACAAATAGCAGTTGTTACCTACCTATGACAATGAAGCATTTGTTCCCTTGTACCCCTGTCCGGACTAACATCTGGTCCTCTTGCTTGTCATGGGAGTACCTCCAGGACTCCTGAGGGGGCAGACAGTTGAGTAATTAGAGTAAAGAGAAGAACAATGACTCTATAACTGTCATTTTGAGCAGGAAAAAAGCAAGTCAGACAGACAGAAACATAAGAAAGAAAGAACAGAAGTAGGGCCAAACACTGGAATCCTCCAACCACATACAGTAAGTTTAAGTAAAGAGATGCACATCTGTACAGTAATGGCTATTTAGTGTAGGGAAAAAAACCCAGACAGACAGATGGAGAGAATCATAAGAGGGAAAGTAAAGAAAAACCTACCGGTGGCGCCCTCTTACCACCTACATCTCCCACCTGAGCAGTCAGATTATGATTGTGTGGGTATGTGTGTGTAACTATGGTTCAGGTTCTAGTTTAGTTTTAGCAGTTTTACGACACTTACAGCACCTTAAGATAATATAAGTGCTGAAGATAGAGGTGTTACAAGAAAGTAACAAACACAAAAAAGAAAGCAAGGAGATAAGGACAACGACAGATATTTGATAGGAAAGAAGGAGTAAACCACACCAGACCACTTGTCAACCTGTTGAGCCACCCATGGTTCAGGTTCAAAGTCCCTCTCGACACCAAAACATTATTCAGAAACGGAACCTTCAGAACACTTTGTCCATCATCAATATAGGATCATGCTAAATGGATAGACAGTCTTACCCCCCCCCCCCCCAAAAAAAAAGAAGAAAATCCCAACTACTCAAACAGAAAAACACTGAAATGAGGATTAGAAACAAGGGTCATTAACTCCATGGCTCAACATTATAACAACTCAGCTGCTAACCACACATCCTTGTCTGTGTGTGAGTATATATGGTTAAAAATATTAACAGACAAATACAGCCCTGCACAGATAAAGTAGGCCTACATATCCTTGATCTATATGAGAAGTAAACATTCTTGAAAGACAAGGGCAAAGACGGTTACCTTTGTAGGGTTGTTCGTTTGAGAACTTTGCGGATGTCGACCATGGTACCGTCACTGAGAAATAGAAGAAACAACACAATTATTATAAGTTCTTACACAGGGTTTCCATAATGGCTGAATACACTGGCAAAACAAATATTTTCAAGAAATGCAGTATAAATTGTCTTAGACTGCCACCCACTGTCGAAAAGAAGGGAGGTTGACGTTTCGCCGCAATTACGTCACATAGTTTACCTGAGGAAAAAAAGAATGATCGTTTCGCCGCAAATTGAATTTGATTACAACTAGATTTAATTTAGTACGTTGTGGTGTCTTAAGGACAGAATTTAAAAAGCTTGAAGCTCACGTACTTGACGAATTTCTCGATGTTGATTTGCCATTGTACACAGGGCCTGTTAAGGGCTGTTTGCAATTTGCTGCGTTCAGTTTTAACTTTGTTAGTCGCTGATGGTCGATGAATTTTCTTGGGAACAAGAATATGTTTTGGAAGTAGGACTTTAGGCAGGATAGGTTTATATAATGTCATGACAGTGAAGATAAAAATGTGATGTCTCAGATATAAAGTTGTTGAAAAACCCCAAAGCTGTTCAAACTGGGCTGCCATTCTTCACGTGAAAGAGTGGGAATGACCAAGAACGAGACCAGTACTTACAATGAAGGGAGAAAGGGAGAGATTGAGTCATAATAACAGTTTACCCCTCCCGAGTTCTCATTGACACAGTAGGCCTAGGAGCGCTTACAAATTTTGTTTCAGTGGCTTTCACAAATTAATTGATCTTCTATCTTCTGTGTAAGTAGCTTGTATTCGAATACGATTTGCGGCGAAACAATTTCCAGACTTTGACAGGTAGTCCCCTGTTGCGTCATTGGCGGAGAAACCTAACGCGCCCGAAAAGAAAAGTGGTTGCCCCAGACAGGTGGACATCTTAGAGTAGGAAGTGGTCATTTGTATAGGCGATTGTCTTGTATAGGTGCTCATTAGAGTAAAGGGGTTAAGTGAGCAGTGAGTTCAGACTCAAGTAATCTCAAGCAAGTGTCGGTGACACTGAGTTTAGATGGGTGGTCACTGGGGTGTGTCCTTGAGGAAGACACGACAACCCTAGCTCAAAATTCAGGGCGCTGCACAGTGGTGACCAGCGATGTCATGTTTATGAAATTGTTCTGTATTGATGTAATATTGAGTATTTATGTAAGTATTTGAGCATGCATTAATGTATGCCTGTATTTAAAATTAATGTATTTATGTATACCATGTGTGTAATATGTATGTTTGCCATTGTAAACCAAATAGCCCTTCTAGGATCAATAAAACTGAATTTGTTATTTTTTAAAACATTTTATTAGAGCAGTTTCAGGTGTAAACATAAAATGTTAAGAAAAAAAGTCTGAACACTTTTCAGAAAAATCAGTCTCCAGACAAAGTGCTATTGTGCAAACTCGAGCCATTACAGCAGACAACATTTGAGATTGACAACTTACCCAGAGTTCTCATTCTCCTTCCGACTCACGTCATCTTCAACGCAGTCACCGTGACTCTTGACGACGTGCGATGTTTTCCTCAGCGACACACGCTGTAGCGCTGCCAGAGTGACTACAGGCTGATTGCTGGGCGCAAGCGGCTGAAGACAAAACAGATGGGATTTATGAGCTGCAGAAGAAATTTTCATACGGTAAAACCTTCTCATAAAGATTATTCCAAAAACCCCATTCACCAACTGTGGTGGAAAGTCTACGTTATGCAGACCTGCCGACCCCTTCATGATCAGACCTATGAACTTTCCTCGGAATCCTAAAAAATGTTGAGTTTCACAGTGGAATCCTGTTATAACGAGAGGGAGGGGACAGGAGCAAAATGTCCGTTATAGCAGGATTCTCGCTATAAGGGATCCAGTAATAAATTCAAGGGAAACTGTAAAGTAGGCCTAATCTATGAGATTGGTGTTCTGTTTATTTCCTTTTGCTATCTCTCAAATGATGATTTGTGAGGCAGCGTGGTGGAATCAGGCTCTCGTCAAAATAATCAAAGTGAAGAAACTTGCATTTTTCCGCAGGTTTGTGGTTTTTTATTGAATTTTTGTTTTTTGGCTCAACACCTTTCATGCCCATTAAATATCTCATTTCTGTGTGAATTTTTCTGAAAAACGTTGATTAAAGGCACAAAAAATGTAAATTTTCTGTTATCACGGACTCTTAAGCTAAGTAAATGACTAATCTTTGGCAGCCATTTTCTCATTAATTTTACCTCTGAAAACAGGTGACCCCCACCTCCTTTTTTCCCAAATATCTCGACTTGTATTCAAGATAAATGGATATCTTTTTCATCCAAACAAAGACAAGAGAACAAGCTTTAAGATGATACCAATAACTCTACATGCCTTAAAACTGACAAGAGCCTTTTCCACCACGCTGCCTCACATTTTGTTTCAACATGACCTCTAGGTCTTACTTGATCAAAAATTGAATCAGGTTTCTTTTTCTAGCTCTAGGTCTAGCGATGTGGACTGACAGCTCGGCATTGGCGATCAGAAAGAAAGGGCTCTGGGCTAACTCGCCCGCTGTGTTTCCCCCCACCCCACCCCACCCCACCCTGTGGGGCTTTCTGTCTGCTTGCGCACGTCACACATTCCCTCCATCCATCACATTGCTGTGACCTCTTCATCCCCGCATCGGAGAAGTGAGAGGCATGGTAGGCCTTGATAACTAAACTAGGCGTACGCTGGCCTATCACGCAATGCGTTTTGCTTGTCTGCGCATGCCTCCCTAATCAGTCGCTCCGGCCTTCATTGGTGACACACATGGGCTCTCCTATTCTTTGTTTCTCAAGATCACGAACAAGTTTCTCAACTGACAAGGTTTTGCAATGGCCTATGCACTGAGCACAGCAGCAGCAATATTCCGCTATAACTGACTCGCATGTTTGATAGTGCTATAGAAGTATTTTATTTACAAAGGTAAAGAGGAGAAAAAAAGCGGGGTTTTAGAATAGTTTCTTTATAACAGACTTCTCGTTTTTTCCAGACTCCTTTTAAGTGGACTCCATTGTATATCAAAAGAAAAACTTCCACATGAACTTAAATCCAACGCAATAAGGCACAAAAGTTCCCATTTGATCTAATGATAATCTCACATGTCTACCAACCTTGGCAGAGAGGTTTCCGTCCTCGTTGATTCTTGACCTCAGGTCGGGGCCGCCTGTCCTCTTCAGCTTCACGCTCCTCAGAGCCTCAACAGTGACCTCAGGCAACAGAGTCCCGCCGACCGCCTGCGACAGAAAAATGAAAAATGATCAATTGATTAGGACCCGACAGACAAGAGGCGTATAGTTCATGGCACGGGAGGTGTGCAGCAGACTTGTTTATTTTCGTTTGAGCCAACTGCCATGCTAGACACAGATTTGGAAAAATAGATGACAGGTGACAGGAAAAGAACAGGATAAGAATAATACAGTTTAGTGATTTTATCTTTTTAACAGTATCCAATGACTCAGATTCAGAAAAACTTTAAAATCTTTGAGCGTTAGAAATCAGTGACCACTGAAGTGTGCAAAAGAACCCCTGCCCACCCAAAAAAACAACAACAAACAAACAAACCAAAAACCAAAAACTATACCAAAACAGAAGGAAAGATCTATCAAAACTTACAAACAGGTGATGTGAATAGACAAAGGCAATATGTTTTTTCAAGAGCATCCCGCAGAAAAACCGGTGCTGGCTTTTTTTTTTTTAATGTAGTTGCTTTTATACCCCCATCGACACAATTCAGATTATTTAAGAGGTGGGCTTTTGACCCTGCCAGTCGGGCCCAACCCAGCCTGAGAGGGATACATCTCAGCAGAAAGACAAAGATACTTTATAAAACAGGTCCAATATCTGTTCCAGATCCTTCACTTGAAGAAAAAACATTGTAGGCCACAAGCCACAATAACCATTCTACGTTACATGACCAAAAAACAAAAATGACTTTCACTCACCCTCATTTTCTTCATGACCTGATCCTTTGTCTGAACATCTGTCTTCAACCTTCGAATCACAGGCATAAAATAGGGTGGGGGTGGGGGTGGGGGAGGAGGGGGAGGGGGAGGCGGGGCTGGTGCGGCCGTGCTGGATACGAGCATATTAGGAGGGGCATACTCTTTGCCTCTTGCCTTCTCGCTGACAAATGACGAAACCTCGGACACCGCAGGCCCGTGGGAATGAGTACCAGAGTTCGACTTGGAGCTGCTCAACAACCTGAACAAGAAATGGAGAAAAGAAAAGACGTCAGTACACAATTGTCTTTGGCTAAGATCCACCACTTACAATTTCGGTTCACTTATGATCCCGTTGTTTCAAGAAAGCAAAATTATAACTACACAAAAGTCACCACTAAAATACTTCTCTGAAGTACCACATTGGCCAATGATCCCCCACTTTCCTGGCTCCCAAACACAGGGATCTGTGGCAGAGACTACTGTATACCACTTTCATCATTTCCTTTTGTTCTTGTAGTAGTCATTGGGGAAATACGTTGTCACAAATCCAAATGACAGAAAGCAACTAGAAAGTTGTTACAAACCAGACTTGCTTACTGTTCCAAAGCCCAATAAGGGATACCCAACGTTTTAACGTCATATTATGTTAGAAAGAGCAAAATTCCATCAAGTGGGACTGGTTTTGGTACAACGTAAGAGACAAGGTTCTAAAATTACCAATAGTCGAATCATGGACAGTCCCTGAAAATTCTGGACAGTTGGCAAGCCTGCATAACCAGTACTGATCTCTAACAGCAAATGTGCACCACTGGCTAAGTTGATATCATTCTGGACTATGGAACTGATGGCCTTAGTCAAATCCCCAAACAAGACATTCTGAACTTGATTTGGGGTGTCTTGGCTCAGTCTTATAGAAGATGAGTGTTGAACCCCCCCCCCTCCCCCCTCCAACACACCCAAATAGTATGACACACCCTTACACCTTCCTTGACTCCAAACACATCAAGATCTGAAGAGTGGGAAGTAGCTCTGTCTGCCACCTAGGCAAAGCGATGTCATGCATACTGCTTCAATATCGTTTGTCAAGTGCACTATGCAAACAAAGGCCAAACATACCTTGCACTAGAAGATGATGAGGATTCTGGGAAGAGACCGATGTAGTCTTCTGGATCCACGCTGCTCCCCTCTAATGTCACACAAGCGTAACTTGGCTTCAAGCAGGCAGCACAAACATGTTGACGATACACCCCGAGAGAGCCCAAACCTGAAGAACTGGACCTGACCTCCGCATTCCCCTGTGAACACAATGGGGGGGGGGGGGGATGATAAACCATTCAAACATAAGTGATATGCTAAATCCCAGTAATTAGACTACCAAATACTTAACCAAAGCATCCATCTAGACAAAGTTTACATTTTCTTTCCTGCACAACTAGCCAGTTACATAAGTCTACCATTGTTAACAAGTCTACTTTCTCTCCTTCACATTGACAAATTGATATTTCTTGCATTCTTGATATTTCGTACCCACATTAAGTTCACATTGGCATCACATACCTGGTTAGTTTTAGCAGCTTTTAACTCAGCCTCCAATTCAGCAATCCTAGCAGACAATCTGTCAGATGTCGTCAAGCCAGACAATAATCCTCTTGCTGCTGTTTTACTCTAAAATGAAAAATAAAAGTGAGAAAAAAAAAAAGAAGCAAAATCAAATTCAATTTTAATGTTCATGCTGAGTCATAATGCAAAAG